AGTCCTCACTCTCTTACTTGAATGCTGGAAGTTTATCATTCAAAAACATCAGAAACATTAAAATCAGTCTGTTGCTTTGCAATTACAAACACTGTACAGAATTTCATGAATTGTCCGCACTTCAGTGAGAAATCAAACTCAGATGTGCTGAAGTCCTAAGTATCAGTATTTTATTTTCCAAAATTATCTTAGTGAACTACAAGACAAAGCTGAATAATGTCTCACTACTCCTTCTGACCCTTCATATGCATCCTTCAGATGCTTCCTCAGAGCCACGCTCTTTGATTTTTTCCCTTTCTGTCAACTTTAGCATATCCACAAACAAATAAACAAATGAAAAAAACACCAAAGGCTGCTCCCCTGCTCCAGTTTCACTACTAGAAAGCTCTAGAATGTTCTCTAGTGTGGTGAGAAAAATCCTAACACTCATAAATCTGCATTGTCACTCTTGCAAGAGAAAGAGCGCTCCCTCTAACATGCAGATACTGATTTAAGTGACTGGAAATGGAATGAAAGCCTTTGAAGCAAATGTCTACATGAAGAGAAATGATTATAGACTTGTAAAAACAAAACTGAGAAGCCAGGGAAGCTGGTGTCACAGAAAGCATGTGTGGGACCCGTATATATGGCAACTATACAAACACTGTTCACGCCTATCTCGTAAACCCTAAAGTACAACCTTATCATATCTTGTTCAGTGTGACCTGAAGCTGCACAAGTTGTTCCACATTTGAATCTGCCATTGATGTGAAACTATCCTTCAGATATCACACATGTCTACTTCTGCTCATAAAAAATCTCTTCTGATATTCCACCATGCACAATTAGTTCTCACTCCTACCACTTGGCTTTTAGCTCAAGCAAACATAAAATCAAATAGCACCAATTTCAAGTCCAAGGAGACCTTTTATTCTCTTCATCTTCTTCACTTCATATATTTGATATTTATGCTTTCATTTTCTGACCTTCCAGCTGCTCTGTGGTCTCTCTCTGATCTTTGAAATGACACCACAACAGTTTTAATTTTATACAACTGCTTTATCATATTTTACCACTCTGAAATCTGTGTTGAGATGTCAAGTTGATACACAAAAGATTTGATCTGTTTTTACTCCTTGACTGATCTCAGTGCTCCATAAGATAACTGTTGCTCTTCCATTTCTATATTTTTTTCAATTAATAAGCCATTGAAAAATGTGATTATTTAAAAAACAAAACAACAACAGAAAAAAGGAGGATATACTCTCTTAAAGGTAACATATCAAAACATCTAAAAAATAGTATGCCCCACAGACTCATACTCTAAAGGTTTCAAAAAATACAATAAAAAATACAATAAATACAATAGATACATATCTAGACAGTATTGTTTAAAAATATATTTGGGAGAAACAAATTCTTCCACCCTATGATGCTCAAAATGCAGATTCCTAAGTCTTCCTACTGCCTGGAATGAAATCAAGTCACTTAACACTTGTTGTTGGTTATGCTAATCCTTTAATATTACTATTTATTCCAGCTAAGAAAAACGGGCTAAGCCAGCTGTTCAAAATATCAGCATTTTAATGTTCCCTATGTTGGTGTAATATTTTATCACCTGTTCTTTATGTTCTGTGCCTTGATTCATACATAAAATGTATACGTCAGAGTTACTTGTGGGGATAGCTATCAGTTTATACTGATTTAAGACTGCAATAAAAACTGCATAACAGTCTGAAAATATATAAAATGTTAGTGAAAAGTTTTCTAGTTGCTTTCCATTTAACATTATAAGAAAGCCTCCTTAGGGAGCTGTCTGAGGATGACATAGAACCATAGAATATCCCAAGTTGGAAGGGACCCGTAAGGATCATCAAATCCAACTCCTGGCACCATACAGGTCTGCCCAAAAGTTACGTTTTGATTAAGATACAATACAACAAACCATTTTAGGAGAAGTTTTTTTCCAAAGACCTTTATAGAAGTACTTTTACAATCTGATTTTTGTTCAACGCTGGTGTAAGCGAGCAGCTATAGTGGAGTTACGACATAAAACATTCAAAATCAAAAACAAGGTATTCAAATATTTGCACACATGCATTACAGCCTCAGTGATGGTTCACATGAATACAGCAAGTTTCTTCTAAAATCACAACAACACAACTTTAAAAAAATCACAACTTAAATCACAACAACAAAGTTATAAAGCTACAAAAGCTGACCTGAGTACAACCTGGGCCCACAAGTATCAGTTGCTTCACCAGCATTCCCCTACCACATTTGCCATTTCAACAGGCTTATTTTGTAGCCAAGGTGCAGCTGAGGGGAATGAAGTCTTCTCCCTGCACAAAAGAGCATAAGGCATTCACCCCTGGAAGCAGAACCATGCTGAGAGCAGGGGAGGAAGGAAGAGAGCACCAGCAAGCACGTGCACTCTGTTAGTCTTCCACGTGGCCTTATGAAATGCTGCAGAATCCAATCCACATAAATTTCCTGGAGCTACCCTGATAGCCTGCAGCATTATATGAAACATTTTGTTTTAAATATCACTTGCTCATCTTAAAATCCTAAAATATATTATTGTTATCACAGGAAAGTAATTTTACAGCTGAAAACACTATGGGTGACTGTTCAGAGAAAGGAGTAGATTAGCATTACTGAAAATAAACAACATTTTTGTGGTATTAACTTGTTTGGAAGAAAAAAAAATAAAACCTCTACTAAGCTTTCAAATTCTTGTTTAATCACACAATAAAGGTAGAGCATAGCTGAATGCATTGCTTTTCTATCAGTTCTCTTTGCTTGAGTGTCATGTCAACCCATGAATGAAAAGTAATGGATGCACACAGGAAAAAGAATGCAAGACATTAGCCCTCCAAAGAAAATGGAGGAACTGAGTTTATAAGGAAATAAATGATCCTGGTAAGTTCCTACCCAGCCTATTTATTCTTATACAATGTAGAATGCATCAAAGTTAACTAATCACTCTGTAGTAGCAAGCCAGTATGAATATGGGATTTGTTGACTCTGTCTTCACTAGTAGAATTTGCTATGTTTTTATATAAATTCTTTAATAAAAACTTCAATAAAAAGTGATGTGTTGCATTCCATTCACCTATCTAAACATAAGGAACTAGCGCTAGTAAGTTATCAAAATCTCCAACTATTATACAAATACTGTGGTTCCAATGAAAAGGCCGCAGAGTACTACAAACTATTTGCCTCCATCCCCTGCTAATGACAAAGAATTGCTATCAATGTTATTATTTACTTACAGTAACAGACAAAAGATACTGATCAGGACCAGAGCCTGTAGTAAGTGCTCTACAAATACACAAGACAAAAAACCACAAAACTGCTACTTGTTTTGTTCCTTTGCGTAAGCACTGATTCATAGAGAAGTCACATAAGAATGAGAGAGTACTAGCCTTTTAGTGCTTCAACAGGTAGAAACCTGTATAGATTGGAAAGCTTGTGTGTTCTATAAAAATTAAGTATGCACTTCAACCAATGGATTTCTAAAATTCTTCTTTTGTTCACTTCCAGTAACTACCTGGGGAAATTCCTAAAGACTTCTATTAATGCTGATATGAAAGCAGCACTACTGATATGGAACAGCTGAATTTCTTCTCAGATACCACTTTAACATAGACTTGCACCTCATTGTTGGGTACAGAATCTTGCAAAGTTCCTAACCATGCTTGCTATACTATATTCTTCTCATTTTTTTTCACCCATTTGTAAATGTGTTTGCACAAATATTCGGTTGTTATGTTTACTTGATGTTGCACACAAAGGAAGACAAATACATTAAGCTACCACCTGAAAAATCAGCTTGTGTCACAACATTTATAGAGATCTTGAATTAATTTCATACTATCTCAGTATAATAACTAATACCTAGTTAAAATTTTCCAATAATAATCAATATTAACAGGAGTTCCAGGATAAGCTTCCTGCAACATCTTTCTACAACAGTGAGACTATTAATGACATAAACAAGATTTCCTAGTTACATAGTGCATGACCCCTGCAATTTATTTAATGGTAACAAGAATAATAAGGATATTTTGCTAAAACAGATGCATTTATGAGCACTTTGATTACACCTTCAATAAAGATATCACATATCTCTCAAAATACATAATCCTTTATTTTTCTGACTAAAATCATCCATCATTAATTTTGTGCAATTAGAAAGTGCTAATTTATTTATTTTAACCAAACCTCTTGTTCTATGACTCACCTACGTGAACAAGAACAGTAGCATTCTACCTCATTGCAGCTCTGTACAGGCTAATAGCTGGTCAGTGATACAGACAGGATGACATTATCCACACATTAGTGAATTGAAAAGCAGATGAAATATTAGAAGAGCTCAGCGATATACATCAGCATTCAAGCACAGCTAACTACAATCCAATGGTACAGAAGGCAAATTTTGTGTACAAAATGCAATGTTTCTTCAGATGACCAGTCCCAAAGCAGCTGTCCATTCAAAGCTTTTCTGGAATCCCCCTAGAAACTTGGTCTTCTTAAATGCTCATATTTAAATAAAACTGAATATGAAAAGCTATCTCTTGGTAGGAAATTGAATTCAACATGGAACTTACCTAATCAGGTAATCCTTGCCTAGGCAAAGTTCTGACTGAAGTCAAGATGTTTTGTCAAAGGACACCAGTGACTCAAACTGTGCTTAAGCAGGAGGGACTTTATTTGGACTTTCTGAAAGTCCAAATAAACCAAACACTTCCCAAGGCATGTGAACTCCTCCAAACACAACTGTTGTATAGAGTTTTCTATCAAATCATATATTTTGTTACATAACTGCCTGTGAAGGTTTTGTCAGTGATGGGAGTCAAAACCTTCTGCACAATCAGCCAATTTCCATTATTTCAATAGAACTAACAAATACGAATACTGGAAATCTGCAATTTTCGCAGCTCAATGCAGAGAACAGTGCAAGAATAAAACTCACAATCAACTTAAATATACTGTCAATTTGAAATATATTTGCTAACCTTCTGATGAAGTGAACATTCTTGTAGATTTTTCCAAATGGCATGCTGCTTCTGTTGAAAATTCTAGCATTTTTGAACAATCTTATGAGTCCTTCATGGCTAGAAAAAAAGCACAGATTAGCTGGGAAAGGAAAGATATAACTTAATAGTATGATGAAGCAATCCAATAAAGCTTTTTTTTTTCCTTATTTGAAAAACGGACTGTTAAATATACCACCACCAAAAAAAAAAAAAAAAAAGTACACTTAGCATTTTCCTTAACTGTAGATTTCAGTAAGTACTGCTCAGTATTGACAAATCACAGTTGTTCTGTACCTGAAATAAATTACACTAATTTTATATTTGATCTTTCCCTCTGAACTTTTTGTAAAGGCTAACATGACTGCAGATGCTTCATTACTCTGAAGAAAGACGTACAGTATTTCATCACCTGTTATAGTCAGCCTTTCCCCACATTTACTCTGTGAACAGTAACTAGGTCTTACCATGTGTCAGTATAGAACTTTACTCTCTTTTGTCATATTCTCTACTCTAACAAAATATTCGTCAACTGACCATTCTTTCTCAGTCCAAATTTATTTTCACTGGTGTAATGAGAGATCAAGATCTACAAGGAGCAGCTGAGGGAGCTCGGATTGTTCAGCCTGGAGAAAAGGATGCTCAGGGGTGACCTTATCACACTCTACAGGTACTTTAAAGGAGGCTGTAGCGAGGTGGGGTTGGTCTATTCTCCCACGTGCCTGGTGACAGGATGAGGGGGAATAGTTGAAAGTTGCACCAGGGGAGGTTTAGGTTGGATATTAGGAAGAACTTCTTTACCAAAAGGGTTGTTAGGAATTGGAATGGGCTGCCCAGGGAAGTGGTAGAGTCACCATCCCTGGAGGTCTTTAAAAGACATTTAGATGTAAAGCTTAGTGATATGGTTTAGTGGAGGACTCATTAGTGTTAGGTCAGAGGTTGGACTAGATGATCTTGGAGGTCTCTTCCGACCTAGATGATTCTGTGATTCATACCTGTTTCATTAAGTTCTCAACGAATCCAAAATATGGGATACATCTAGCCTGGCCTTACACGTCTCATATCACACTCTTAACCTTAACCATAGCTGCTTGTTGTATACACCATTTGAAAACAGTGGTTAGGCAATTTTACACTGACACCTCTTAATTAGAGGCCTACAAACTCAATTGAAAATTTGGTATATTTTTGCAGAATTAAGATATAAAGCAATTACACACAAGAAACTTCAAACAACAATTTAATGGTACCTATTTATAAGTTTCAGTGTCCTGATATGCAGAACCTATTGGGAGAAGCAAGGTTTGTCGTACAGGATATATAAAATCTTGTTTTGCGGGGATGAGGGAGTTGCGACTACCAACAAAGCTTTCCAATTTCCTATAAGGCAGGTAGCTACTTTGCTGGGGAAACAAGGAAAGAACCCAAGACACTCAAGAGGCATCATAAATGCTAGGCATCTTTTCCTGGGTTCTTCTTGTATGAACTGAGCACATCACTGTCACTCTGCATAAAGAAATGTTTTCATTCACACAGTTGTATTGGTAAGGATATTAGTTTTGCTGATTATTGTTCCAAACAATGTTCATACCCTACAAGCATTCAGTAGTGTGGCAAGGCTGTATACATGCCTATTTATCTTAGATAATTTTAACTTTCACAGATTTCCCAGATGAGTATTAAATACAATATTAAATGATCATTAGGAAACACATACCACAGTTATAAGCATGGGCAATTGTTTCCAAATGTTTTGTAAATTATCAGCACTTCGGTTTCAAACGTAAAATACATTTAATTATTCACACTTAAAAAAAACTTACATTGAGGCACCAGAATGAATGGAAGTAACTTCTCCAAAGGTAGCACATTCCAACATTTATGGTAGAAAATATTAAGAGATGGTTTAGAGACTCTTTCACTAGTATTTTATTTTATTTTTGGAGAATCATACTGCTGTCTGCTCTTGCTAGTTAGATTATGAATTTCTTGGGGCATGGATTGTCTTTTATTCTATGTCTGTACAATGTCTAGGGCTGTAGGGCCTCATCTCAGCTGGGACCTTAAGGCACTAATGCTATAAAAGTATTACTAACAACAGTAAAGCAGTTCTTTGATCGCACTGAATTTTGAGAACTTAGTGGAGCAATGGTTCAAAAATAAGTAGTGACCTGCCAGAACCTTATTTATCATAGTTCAGCCACAATCTGCCAAAGCAATGCAAAGCATTAAATTCCTCCCTGATGAAACACTACCTGTTTAAATGGGGTTACTGGAAGAGTGAATACAGCACCCTGTATAGAAAGATACTCAAGATTAATTTGTAAGTATATAAAGAAACAAACATAAATAAATAAATAAAATAAAAGATTCTCATTTAGTTGTAAACAAATGGTTAGCTCTTTGAACATTCAACAATAAATTGATTGTACATGTACATGCAGAATATAGACTGGCTTTTTTCCAGTTCTACAAAGTCCTAATTAGTGGTGTTGAAACTGTGTATTTTTGTAAGTGATTAGATTGTTACAGGGATCCATACAGAGTTAAGAAAAAGTGCAGATGATTACTGATTACGGAAATGTTTACTGGATCTAAATGAAGTGACCCACATAGCTCCTTGGTATCCTTTTACCTCAGAGTATTGCAAAACATATCCACACAGCAGCTAATGTCACCATTTGTCTGCCCAAAGTAACTGTTTCTATTTCAGTCAGGTTCCTAAACCATTTTAAAAGTTTTTTTTGAGGCTTCTTAGGATTTGCTGCAATAGCAAATTTCCTTACAATCATGGCTGCTTCTATAAACGTTGTCCTCTTCCTTATGTATTTTGCCTTGCACTTAGAATTCAGATGAGGATGGGGCAGAGGGTTTGGAGCAGCCCACACCACACAACGGCACTGGCCAATGGTGGTTGGGCACAGAAATGCTGTAGACTCTCCAGTCCGGTCTCTATCTCTCGTTATTACATCAGAAGTGTTGATACTGTCCCCTTCTAATCCAGCACTCTGCTTACCTTTACAGAAATCTACAGCCTATCTTGAAGATGTGGGACAAGCCTTACTTTTGAACAGTCTGGATTAAAGCTTCCCAGTACATGAACAGGACTGCTCAGGATCTTTGCAATATACTCCTTGGCAGGAAACTATTTAGCTGCTCAAGTTTCTTTAACAATCAGACCTACACACCGTTTGCTGTTTTTAAAGAAAACATTATTTATTAATAGGTCTTGAGCAGTGACTGTCTAAATATAAAAAACTAGACTAAAGAGAAATTTGGAATCTAACTCAAACTATTAAAAAAAAAAAATCTAAACGTAGTCTTCACCAAAATTTTGAACCACAGTTTACAATTCCTGTAGTCCAAAGTCTGACTACAATTTTCAGAGTGTGGCCAGGAACGTAGGTATTGTCCCATCTACCAGCTAATGCACCCCCCAGATGAATAATAAGAAAAAGTAAATTAAAGTAAAAGAGCACCACATGGTACATCTCTGAATAACCGGATCTTCCTCAAGAGTATGTTCATAACATCCCCAAAATACATGTTCCTCAAAATCAAATAATATCACCCAGACACATTTATAAACGCAAAGATGAACTCTCTGCTTTTTTCTTGTCCACTTTGGAAGGAAAGCACGCTTATTTTGCTACAACTAATTTATCCAAAACCAGAATTAATTAAAATTAAACCAACACATTTAAGTTTAGCAAGAAAAAGGACTGCAGACTTGTGTGCTACAGTATATAGAAACTTTGGAAGAGAGCCAGCATCTCAGAACCATGGCAAATCAGCTGACAATCACTGAATTACCTGAACCACTTTCATTCTCTACTGCCTTGTGACAAGCTTCCATTGTAAAATCACATTATTAGAAATTGTCTGTTTTACAGAGTGGTTAAAAAGAGAGACAGAGAGAGAGAGAGAGAACACAAGCATAATTTTTTAGGGCTCACTTAAGCAAACTCAGAATGTAGAGGGCTTTCCCTCCGCCCCCCCCCCTCCAGTAATTGCTATTTAAAGATCATTTGAATGACCTTCTAGTACATCTTAGCCATCTTTTTATTTACTTGTCTGGTAAAACCCAATCCTTCATCAGGCCAAATAGTCAAAGAGATGGAAAATTTAAACCTTTCCAGCTCCTGAAGGAAAGTTTCTCCCAACAGCTGTCTTGCTTTATGAAAGCATGAAGTCAGTACATCCAATCTCATGCTATCAATCACACAGGCTGACATTTCCTGCAAACTGTGTCCACAAGACAAACGGGGAAAGAGAACCTAAAAGGAACAACAAATTGCCAAAAAGCAGATGGAATTATGTGCTCTTGTTTATATTTGGCTGTTCAAATGAGCCTGGTCTAAATGCCTTCCCCTTCAGAATTATAGCACTAAGCAGTCATTTGCATCACTGCTGAAAACACCTGACACTCGTATTAAGAAATATTGGGTTTAATTGCAGTCCATTAAAATGTGGAAATGTCTTCAATGTAGGATTAATGATTTAAGTGAACTGTCGGCTTTTAGAGTATTTTTAGGCCCTCCTCCTGCAGATGCAAACATCCTCTTGCTTCCCCCACCCCTCCCTGAACTTTTGCAAAAAAGGTCTGCCACATGTTTCTCATCTCCTGGCTTTAGGTAAGTAGCATTTAAAATGACTCTGAACATCAAGCATCTATGATTTGTGACTTTGAGAAGAGTGTTTGTGTACACAAAGGGATGTTAAATTGTTGTTTTGACTTTAATCTAAATAATTTTCATTTCCCCTTACAGTGAATATTTTCTACACATACCAAAACAGGATTTTGTTTTTGTCAGTTCTTATACGTGCACAAGTATGAAGTTACACACTGGTTGGAATGCACTGACCGCTAGTACTCAGTTTATGACTTTACTTTCTACACAGTTAGGTTTTGCTCCAGACACAAAACTAGCAGTTGGATTTCGGCTACACTGGCATTTAAGTCCACATGTGTGCACACAGAGCAAAATGAGGGTAACAGCTGTTGTTGCTGACAATTGTAAAATCACAGAAAAAAATATACAATGCACTGAATACTGTAAACACTGTAAATATAGATGCTTTAATTTTTTTGCTAAATAAATAAATAAATCTGCTCCTTGAGCTGGCGCTCAAGTAAAGCACATGTAGAAAGGTAGGTTGCAACAGAATTGAAACTTAGCTCAGAGATGGCTGTCCTTTTGGAAAATATGACCATTCAACATCTTTTAGTATCATTAAGCCTTTTTCTTCAAGTAAGTGGCAGTGTCACAATTCTACCTCAGTGCCCTTAAATAGAGAGCAAAGAATTTCTGAACATATCTGACCACATTTCTCTTTACGCATTTTGCCATGCTGACTACTGCTGCAAATATAACACTCCTGATCCTGAGCATCCTGACAGCACTGTCTTAGTGCTGTCTGGTCTTAGTCCCAACACAACTGACATGAACTTCAGGTTCCTAAATAAAAAGAAATAACTGAAGCTAGAACGTGCTTCCCAGGTACCCAACAGGACTTGATCCTGTGTGTTGGATGCCTTCAAGGCCATCTTCTTCACCTCTCTGATAGAGGATTATCTCTAATTTCCATCAGTAAGAAATTTTTTTTTT